ATAATGACCCTAAACACACTTCCCGACTCTGTGCCAATTATTTGAAGCGAAAACAAGACGAAAAAAATTTCAAATAATGGATCTTAATCCAATAGAACTGTTGTGCATTTGTCTGACTGATTTGCATCCAAGCAGCCTCCCTGCCCTGCGGAATTGCCTTAACGAGTCCTGGAAGAACATACCTGCGCAAACATTGCAAAAACTCGTCAAAAGATTACCAAAAATATGCGCTGCAGTGATCAAAGCAAAGGGTGGTCATATTCAGGAAAATTGACTGTGACATTTTAACATTTTCATTGCTAATTAGTTCATCATTTCTCACAAATTGGTTACAAATCAGTCACTAAATATTAATACTACGTAGAATGTACAAAACTAACTTGAATAAAATTATTTTTATATGAAAAATATAGCTCAAAACTCAGAAAATGAGATTTTTTTCATGTGTCCGGAAACTTTTGGCCTGTACTGTATAAGTCAGGGCGGGGCACAAAGATCCAATTTGACTTCATCTACATCATACTACATCACAACATATAACAAGTAGGGTAGAGCGGGGCTAGTTGAGCATAGGGGCAAGTTGAGCAATCGAAATATCTCGAAAACTATCCACCATCCGTTTAGGCATTATATGGCGGAAAGATAGAGGTTTGTGAGAAATAAACATCCCGCGATCGCTAGTGGCCGCTGGACAAATGAGTGAGGCTCACGGGCGCTTTGTTTATTTTGAGACCAAAAAGTAAAAAAGTAAAAGAGTTTTTGTCTGGTTTAGTCAATTGTTATTATTTTTAATCAGGTAAATGTTATTCTTCCATATAATTATAGTACTTTTAATATGCACAGAGATTCTGGGTATAATTCGCACGGCTTTTTTATAAGCTCACTTTTATTTTGAAATTCCGAGTTGGGGTTAGTTGAGCATAGTTGCTAAACTTGTTCTGTCACTAAGACAATTACCATTAACTTCCAGAAATTAATTTATTATTAAGATTTAAGCTAAGTTTATGAGTTATAATATAAAGAAATAATGATTTTAAACAAAAATACTGAATATAATGGCAAAATAGTTCCTAAGATACAATATTGTTTTGTTGATTCTACTTTTCGTTAATTATTCAAAGCAAATTACTATAAGTTTTGTTCTCTCTGTCAATAAAGACCATAAATATAGAACTGATTATTAAAAACTTATTTTATTTCATCACAAATTGACATTGAACCTATGATTTCATTATACTTTCTTAGTGCTCAACTTGCGCCACCTATGGGGTACATTGAGCATACTTGACTTTTTGCATTTAAACAGCTGTAGCTTTTAAATTTTACTTATTACCAAAAAATAGTATTAACACTTTTGTTAAGCGATAAACTACAAATCTATTAAGCTGCATAGCAATTTATTGAGACATTTCATTAAGGAGTTACATCCGTTTAAGTAAAAATTTGCTCAACTAGCCCCGCTCTAGCCTATTAAACAAAGAACTATCGTACTATATTCAGTTTTTTTACTAAATATAAAAATGTGTTTTTTAACTTCCCGTAGGGTAGTTATAGTAATGGTCCAATATGAATTTTGTTGCATTTCTCGACCTTTTGAAGATTTCTGAACACTTTGGTATACTTCAGAAAAAATTTATGTGTGTGTGTGTGTTTTGTATGTCCGCATTTTTTCGTCCACGTTTTCGGGCGCACTGAATGTTTCAAAAAACATTCGATTTCTATTCATAGAGAGATGTCCTGGTTTTTGGCAAAGGCAGGTTCAGCCGTTTCGCAGATGCGGAGCAAAGAGTACAGAAAATAGAAATCGAGTTTTTGAGAGAACGGAGTATCCGATTTGAATGATCTGAAAAACATTGAATTTATAATAATTGGGAGAAGAGGTGATTAGTTTTTTTGCAAAGGTAGGTTCAACCATTTTGAAGATACAGAGCTAAATGTGCAAAAAATGGCAGTTTTCGAGAGAACTGAGCGTCCAATTTGAATGATTCAAAGAACTTTCTACTTGTTTTAGCAAAATAATTTTGAAAAAAAATGTTTGTTTCAAGTTTTTTTTTTTGTCAAAAAAAATTGTCTTCAACTTTTGTATATCGAAAATAATTCAGATTTCATATGTTTAATGATGATTTTTGACCGCCAAATTTTTTTTTCACTTGATTTCCGAAACCGCTAGACCTGCCTTCAATCAGTTATCCATTTTGTCAATACAAGCAATATGTTTTTTGAATTATTGAAATCAGACGCTCCGTTCTCTCAAAAACTGAAGTATTGTTTTTGGCATTCTTTGCCCCGTATCTGCGAAACGGCTGCACCTGCCTCGGCCGAGAACTAATCAGCACGTATCCTTATCAATAAAAATCAAATGTTTTTTGAAACATTTAAATCGGTAGAACCAATATTTCATTACTGTACGGGAAGTTTCAGCAATTTGCCTTAAGGCACGATGCCATACACATCTAGTTTAATTTATTTCTTATAAAATTGCTATTTTTTAACTGAATTTACATTTTTATTTATTATTTTTTATTGTTCAAACTTTTGCCAGGGTAAAGGTTCAGGTGGTTGTTTTTACCCCTCCACATATATTATATTATAAAGATTATATAAAAAATGTGTTGAATCTAACTTAAAACATAAATTTCTCCTTCTAGATGTTGATTAACAAGACAGAAGAAATTATATTTATATTTATTTATTTATATTTAAACAACACAATTGTACAATTATAGATATTATATGGTACATAACTTAAATTAATAGATAATAATACATACAATATAAAAATGAAATATAATTTAAAAAAAAAAACAAATGTTCACTTAAAAATCTTATTCTAATTTTCACAGTATAAATTATTGAAAGGTAAAACTCAAATACTCATCAATAGAGTAAAACACTTGCTCTTTAAAAAATGTGTTGAGTAGTTTATAAAATTTCCTGTTTCCAACTTCTCTAATACCTAGTGGCAGCTTATTGTAAAGCATTATGCCCAAACCATCTAAGGTATTAAATGAGGAGGCCAGTTTCAATGTGGGACCTTTAACAAGTTTATGTCTTGTGTCATAATAAATACATTCGGGATTTGGGCTTAAATTAAACAGGTTATCATTATTTTTTATAAAACAGGGGGTGATTAGGAGAAAAATACATGGAACGGGTAGAATCTTGTGCTCATGGAAAAAAGGTCGACAAGATGTAGTGGATGAAAGGGTTCGGTAAACTAAACAGCAGTAATCACAACCAAAAACTAGTGGTGAATGCATTGTGCCTTAAGGCAAATTGCGGGTAATTCCCGTACCAAAATTAAATATTCGAGCAAAAAAATTTTTCAATGATATAATTATTATTACTATATATTTATTTGTTCGCATAATGATATACGGTCACCACCTTATCACTCAAAACATTAAAAAATGTTTACATTAAAGAGGAGAAGCCGAATGAATCCATCTGAGGCTACATTTCTTACAAGTAGAATAACTCATATGAAATATAAACATTTTTGCTGAATTATAAGATTAAAATTTGTGTTTAAAGTTCACATATTTTTATATTTTTTAAAATTTTGAAAAAAATCTGAAAATTTTGAAATTTCTTTGAACCGTATAAGAGAATTTTAAAAATTCAAAATTTTGATACGAAACTCAAAAAATGATTATTGATTTACGAACAACAAATTATCATATTATTAAAGCTTTACAAAATATACAATTTTTTTTTATTTCTTATTTATAAAATTCACTCTTAACTATATTTATGAAATCATATGAAGCTAAATTTGTATAATTTAGAACTTTGACATATTACACAACCTAGACAATATACTAATAATGTTACACAAGTACGAGACATAAAATAAGATAATTATTATTATTTAAAATCCAAATGATTTTAATACGAATTATCGAAATAAATTATACAGTTCTCAATTTCTGAATATTATCCAGTTTTCAACATATTTAAAAAAATCTAATTGCTCTTAGCTATTCATTTTTAAAAAAATTCAATGATGTTATCATCTTGGTGATTGTCTAACAAATATTTTCGAAGCTGTTCTTTCCTTAAAAAATAGAAATATAATTTCTAAAATGTTAAAATGTTTGAAGTTGTTGAAACAATAAAAAATACATATCAATTTTATAATACGCTCACAATACGAGGACTTACGGGAAGTGTAACAAATTGGCTACTAACATATACAACTAGTTTTAGTTACTGATTCACGTTATGAACTTTCCATAGGTTCAGTTACAGAGATGGCAAATTATCAAATTTGATTTATTTCTATCTTTACGTTTCAAGATTTTTTTGGCATACATTAGAAAAATTTGAATTATGTTTGTGTGTACCACATGTATGTATGTTTGGATTTGTAATTAGTATCGATAGTCTCAGTTCTTGGCAGAGACAGGTGCAAAAAATAGCTAACAGGTGAAAAACTCATGCTAGAATTATGAATATGTGTAATATGATTTGTGGGAATATTAAGTAACTCGATTATCAAAGCTAGTGACGGCATTGAGTCTATATATAGCGCCCATCTTATATTTCTGCAGTTTAATAATTTTGTCTATCAACTCTATCGCAATATAAAGAGATTCAACAAAACCCCAGAAGCGTGAACCCGAGGTTCCTCTTGTGTGTATTTTCGAAATATATTGTTGAACAAGATACGTAAATTAAATTTAAAATACACTAATAATTTAGAATACACGTAACAATCACTATAAGAAATGCAAGAATTGAGCTGCCTTCTAAAAAATAAACGTCGAGGAGAGTCTTAGTTCTGAATGCTATTCAAATAAAACAATAAAGTTGCGTCATCAAATAATTTGTTTTTCAATATTAACTCATTTATGTGATAATACTTATTGTTATGTAATTCATATAATAAACAACATTGAAAATGTGATCCCAATAACATCGAATTTTATCGATAATTTGTAAATTACCAGAAAAAATACATTAATAGTTTTAAATAATATTGACAATTTCTTTTACAGATTAGTTGACGAAAGCAAATGAGAGAGAAACACATCACGTACATCTTTCTTTCATAAACAAATTTATATTCAGTATTTAATGAGGTAAAATTGTGTCACTTTTAAATCCAGAATTGAGCGCTGGATGTAAGTCAAAATTACATTACAATCAGCAGTATAAAATAATGATCGTTTATGATGTGAGACGAGAAGATAAATTAGAACTTAGCAGCTGTAGACGCACGATATATGTTGAACAAAGGTTCGCAAAATGCTGGGTCACAAAATGTGTGATCACAATTTTATTATTGTGTTCACTCGTGGAAAATGTAAACTCAAGTCTTCCCTATGACACTATACCAGAAGAAGTTACAGGTAAGAAACAACATAGTTATATATATATATATATATATATATATATATATATATATATAGGTACATATCAAGCCAAGGTAACAGTCCAATTGGTCTATTTTACAGCACCCACGTGTAAGCTTTTATAGAGGTTATATAAAAATATGTTGAATCTAACTTAAAATTAACAATACATTTTATGAAACAATTAAATAGCGTATATTTATATACTATTTTAAGATTTCGTAAACTTAATAACAGAACTCATAAGTTATGAGTACTGTTGTTAAGTTTTCGAAACCTTAATATAATTTCGTTGTTCGTTTTTTGGTTATGAGTCATAACGTAAGAAGATACTTTTGTTGCGAATTTTCAAACATTGCGTTTATCTTCCCATTACAACGTCGTAAGAATAATAATGATGGCTGGTTATACATCTCTTTCTCTCTACTTTCATAAATTGTTGTTTGAAAATTCTTAGCTTTATTTGTTTTTGGTATATTGGAGGTGGACCTTTTTATCCGCGGACTTTCTACCCTATATATATATATATATATATATATATATATATATATATATATATACATATATAGTTTTCGGACATAATTTATATCATTGACAAAAAATTTCGAATGTCGCTTATAATATATACGCACATTAAAAACTGATTTTTAAAAATAATTTTATTCGGAACAAAAATGAAAATTATTACTACTGTTGTTGCGGGTAAATTTTTCTTCGACATAATTTATTTCTTAAGATATAATCCTTGATTTAAAACATAAGTTTTATTTAAATCATTCGATGTCATCTTCCTAACATTTAAAACTGTTTTTGATGTTCATTGTATTAATAAATAAAGATAGCAATTAAACGCAGTTTTCTTGTGTTTGTTACTCATTAATCATTGTGTTCTCTACATCATTAGCAATTGTTTCAGAGCCATGCACAGGGCCGCCTGTGATGGGAACATGCAAGAGCTACGTACACAAATGGTACTTCGACAAGGAGACCGGCAATTGTTCCATGTTCGTATGGGGTGGCTGCGGCGGCAACGCCGCGAATAGATTCAACTCGGAAGTTGAGTGCCTCTTTACGTGCATCGGAGCACCTCGTAAGTTCTGCTTTGATAAAAGTTTGCATTAATTTCATATGATACGATACTTTTGGTATATTAGTTTTACGTTAAATTTTTAACTTACCAAAAAAGATTTCACAAAGAAATCTGTGCGGCTATTTTTATGCTTTTTGACGTTTCAAATCATTCTGATTTTTTGAGACTAGATATAGAAAAAGTATGTGTGTATATGTATGTTCGCGAGCGGGTTAATGAACTTTCTCACAAACGGATTCACCGATTTCAAAAATTTAAAAGCCATTCGATGCGTTGTATAGTTTTGCACGACTATCACGTCCGTATACTTAACACCGCGATGATGGAAATTGGCAACACTGATAGGACGTGATTTTTGACGATTTTTTGCTGTCGGTTGGTGTAATTTATTCTTTTTTGCTCTTTCCGTTTTCGAGATAAATAGGGGACTAACTTCGGTACTAACTTTATGTACAGTCAGCAACGACTGCTCTAAAAATGCAAAATTTAAAATTGCTTTTTACTGTTGTTATCAGTGATTTTTTTGCTGTCTATTGGTGCAATTATTTTTCGGAAAAGTTTCACTGATCATAGATTTTCACGTATCAGAAAATTTCTACATTTTCCAATTAAATAAAATTGGCAATTTTAAAAATGCCCAATTTTTCGCTCGCTTACTTGAATATATAAGAAAAAAAAATTCAATAACTTAATTTTTTCTCCCCTTTTCAGAAAAGTTGCCAATTTTTTAAGGTTTCCACAGGTCACTTTTCAAAAGTTTCAAAGTTGTTTCAAAAAATCACGTCATATCAGTCATATCAGTGTTGCCAATTTCCACTATCGCGGTGTAGGGCTTTCAATACCGGGATTCTGTGAAATACCGGTATTGATACAATAATACCGGTATTTCGGGATTACAAAAATTTTGTAAAAAATTAACTTACGCAAAACACGTACACTGTGTCCAAAAGATTCATCGGTAAATAGAAGAGACTTGCATTTGTTGTAAAACCTTTGAAAAACAATAAACAATGCCATTTTGTGCGTACTTCCCCTATATGTTATTAAAAATGTTGACATGTATCTAAGCATTGTCGTTCTAAAATTGTAAATAGCACATGATCTTTATGAAGTCTTGAACAAGTAAAATAAAATTATTTTTTTTAACTTCCCGTAGGGTAAGTTATTGTAATGGGCCGAAAATCGGAATTGAAAATTTTTACATTTCTCGACGTTTTGAAGGTTTCTGAACGTTTTGGCATACCTCAGAAAAAATGGATGTGTGTGTGTGTGTGTGTATGTGTGTGTGTGTATGTATGTGTGGATACAAATTTCCAGTCACGTTCTAGGGCGCACGGATCAACCGATTTGAATGGTTCAAAAAACATCCGATTCGTATTGATAGGGAAAAGAGCTGATTAGTTTTTGGCAAAGGCAGGTCCAGCCGTTTCGGAGATACAGAGCAAAGAGTGCAGAAAATAGAAATCGTATTTTTGAGAGAACGGAGTATCCGATTTGAAATGATCTAAAAAACATTCAATTAGTAATGATTGGGAGAAAAGTTTATTAGTTTTTGGCAAAGGCAGGCCCAGCCATTTTGAAGATACGGAGCTAAATATGTAAAAAATGGCAGTTTTTGAGAGAACTAAGCGTCCGATTTAAATGATTCAAAGAACTTTCTGCTTGTCTTAACAAAATAATCGATTTTGGAAAAAAAAAATTGTCCCATATTTTTTTTTCTTTTTTTTTTTTTTTTTTATTGAAAATATTTATTTTTAATTCTGACTATAGTTCTAATATACTTTACAAATAATTTCAACTCTGCAATTCAGTTTATATAATATTTATAAATATTAGACAATGTTACAATATTTATAATAATCTATTTGAAAACATTCAGTAATCCTCGAACATTTCGTTACGGTACGAGAAGTTCCAGCAATTTGCCTTAAGGCACGATGCCACCCACCCCACTAGTTTAATTTCAATTTCTGTCAGATTTTTATATTAAATTGTGGTAGTATATTTTATTTATTTATATACATATATATATATATATATATATATATATATATATATATATTGTTTCTTTTCCGAACAGTAAATCCAATAATAAAAAACAATTTGTTTTTTGAAGATGTTTAATAACGACGTTTCGGAACTAGGTACGTTTCATCATCAGGTTTATTCTGTCAAATACAATGTTTTTTAAAAATATTGATTAACATTAATTAATGACGGTCAATACAGATTAATTAGAAAAAAAATTTATAAAGGAATGGATTATGTACCGGGGTAAAGAGTAATAAGAATTAACTAAAAAAGGTTTTATATAAAATTGAGAAGCAAAACTTATTTACCTGTAATAATTTATTACTTACTTATTAATAAATTATTACAGGACTTATCTATTGAATATATATATATATATATATATATATATATATATATATGTTTATACTACCAAACCCGTTTGTTTTATATTTGAAAAGGAAAAAATTGATTTTATTGCACAAGTGTAATTAATTTATTTCGATTACAAAAATGAAATGTTTTTTAGTTGAACTTCTCTAAGTAAATGACAGTGAATTTGCAAATTATCCGTTTCATTGAAGTGTTCTTTGGTAAACCACATTTTTTGTTATTTGGTCTGACGTTAACACAAACAAAGCGGATGGTTTTCCAACTCGTGAACAGGCAACGTGTAACTGCCCATGTGAAAAACAATGATTTTCTTAGCTTAGCACCACTAATTTTCTTAGCTATAAACCTGGCGGAGCCTGAGACTTTCCAACGAATGCAAAATTGTCGAAATCGGTTCGTGCGTTCTAGAGTTAAATCGTCAGGAAGAAAACCCGACATATTTTTATATATATATGTAGATTATCCCATTATCCCATTATCCCCTGGCATTATAGATCTAGTTTTACAAACCCTTGAAATTTCTGATTTCTCCACATTAAATTTCCAAATATATTTTTATGTTAGATATGTAGATGACAGTTCTTTTATAATAGACAAAGAATAATCAGATATGATACTCGATACCTTTAACAATTACAATAAGAGCATTCAGTTCACACATGAAACACAAATCGACAACAAATTAAGTTTTTTAGACGTGACTGTACACAAAATTGACAACATTATTTGCACAAATTGGTACAGAAAATCTACATGGTCAGGAAGATACCTTCATTACGCGTCATATTGTCCCAAAAATTATAAAGTCAATACAATCATTTCTTTGATAGACCACGCAATCATGTTGTCTCACTCTTCTTTTCATACCCAAAACACAACATTAGTAACTAAAACTTTATTAGAAAACGGATATCTCCTCACCCTCATCAATTCCATTACCAATAAAAGACTTTCCTATCATAAAAGTAACAATTATCAATCCATCTCCAAGTTATTCCAAGACAACAATATTAAACCAACTTTTCACAGCATGCCTTACATTGAAGGCTTATTTGATTATTTTGCCAAATTACTCAAAGAAGAAAATATTTTTATTTCAGGAACAGCTCTATATTCTTTTAAAAAAATGTTTTCAAAAATTAAATCCACCACCCCTCCTAAATTCAATACTAACATAGTTTATTCCATCCCTTGCAAAATTTGTCAAAAACAATACATTGGCCAAACATCACAATACATTCATAAGAGAATGAGACAACATGAATTAAGCGTCACTCATCATAAAAGCCGAAATTTCCAAAGCACTGTTGTCCAGCATTCCATCTAAAACTCACATAATTTCACCTTTGAACCCAATATTTTTTATAGAGAGGATTGTACTTTTAAAAGACTTTTTCCTGAAAGCAGTTTAATCTTTTTGAATTCGTCAAATAGTGTTAATAAAAGATCAGATCACAATATCATTCATGACTCATATCTAAATTTTTTAAACCTGATTAAAAACAATTAATCCTAATAATTTTTGAATATGTATATATATACATGTATATGTGTTATAATATATGCACATCCATATATGTGCTTATATGTATGTTTTTGTGTGTACACTATATACATGCACTTGCATATATGTTCATGTATATAATTGTAGATACATTAATATATAGATATGTGCATATGTATGTATGAGTATGTAGGTGTGCATATGCATGTGCATTTATATATATATATATATATATATATATATATATATATATATATATACATAATATTTCTCAACATTTACTAAAGTAATATTTCCTCTTTTTTCATAAATTACCAATACAAGAGCCATAAAAAATCATTTTTGCCAAGAATTCCGAACGTTGTCCTTTTCATCTGGCCGACAGAACTCCATATCAGTGTGTTTAAGTCTTGTGTAGTCGTAACATCTACAAATATCCTCCAAAAAAATCGAGTGTTTTTAACAAAAAAATATTAGTGATATGGATATATAAATTATTACAGGTAAATAATTTTTGCTTCTCAATTTTATATAAAACCTTTTTTAGTTAATTCTTATTACTCTTTACCCCGGTACATAATCCATTCCTTTATAAAAAAATTTTCTAATTTTTTTCTAATTAATCTGTATTGACCATCATTAATTAATGTTAATCAATATTTTTAAAAAACATTGTATTTGACAGAATAAACCTGATGATGGAACGTACCTAGTTCCGAAACGTCGTATTAAACATCTTCAAAAAACAAATTGTTTTTTATTATTGGATTTACTGTTCGGAAAAGAAACAATCAATATATTGAAAAAATCCAGGACTTATCTATTGAATATATATATATATATATATATATATATATATATATATATATATATATTATTTATTTGATTACACAGCCAACAGAATGGTTCCAAGCAGATTTACAAATACAATTATAATGCATGTAATACAGATACAATACAACATAGTATATTTTATAATATAACAAGTTTATAAAATAACATAAAATGAAATAAAATACTAAAACATAAATGCACGGGACATCAGAATTCATTTTAGAGGTATAGTTTATTCAGCAAAGTATCTTATTTTCATCCCTAGTATCCGAAAATCATATGTGCCCAAGCGACTTTTTTTGACACATACAAATCGACCCGCTCTAATATATATATATATATATATATATATATATATATATATATATATATATATATATATATATACTAGATAACCCGACAGAAGTTGTCCTGTACCACTATTTATTATTACTATTTACATAGTAATTAATCACTATTTACACCAATAAATGTAGATCTGCTTCAAATGATGATTTCCTTTAACAAATATTAAAATACGTTCAATAAAATTGTAAATTAAAAATTAAACATTGCAATTTATAGTACAAATTTATTTCCAATCGCTCAATTTATTTTAATGTCAAGGGTTATACAATTTTTTATTCATATCTGTAGATGTGGATGTATAAATGAATGATTTTTTGTTTATTCACGACTAAAACATTGATTTTCCAAATGTATCACACAAAAAATCATCGCCTGCCTTTGTGATTTGTGGTCATAGGATAAGATACACGTGTTGAAAATTGAAGTCTATATATAAATATAGATAATTTGGTGGCATATATAGGGTGGATTAACGAATACTTAAGTTCATATGTGAAGTGAATTAATTTGTCAAATACTGTTAACATGTGCTCTATTCAACCTACGATCAACAAAATCATTTCAGTAAATGGAGAGAAAAAAAACGTGTGTCGGAAATAGGCTAATCTTTATCTTAAGTTCGGGAGTGAAAACAATTTGCACTCCTTCACCACCCACCGCATTAATTGGATTATAACTCTTTTAATTCTGATTTTATCAGAACTTGCAATACACTATTTTACAGGTAATTAAATGAGCTACAACTTTCTCTATCATAAATTTTACCAAAGCAATAACTAGTAAAAAAAAAACCTTGAATTTTCATCTATACTCGTATACCTTTATACTTTTATTCTTTCAGAGATATAATAATAAGAAATTGGTTGTTTTTTAAATAGATTTTTTTTTCATGAAATCTTTGGAAATCGTTTGTACTAAAGTTGTATTTCCTAGAATCCATCAAGATCCCATATACCAAGTTAATTCTAGAGGGAATACAATTATTCTTGATTTTGGTGGAAATGGCACTCATAAACTATTTAATTTAAATGAAAAAAAAAACATTGTATGCGTCCTTTATCTGCATGATAGCTCACTCATTTTACAAGCAGAAATACTCAATTTAAAGCTTATTTTAAGTACTATTTTCATATCTAGCTTAATATTGTTCCTAGAACACTTTATTGAACACAGGTTTATTAGGATTTTAATTGATATAATTTTGTTCATTGCATGATTTTCGATAAAATTTTCAGTAGCCAGTAACTTGAAAAGTAATTGCTGTTTTAAAAAACATTATTAAACATTTTTCTCTTCTAATTAGTTATTTTGTCGATATCCGATGTTATTTTGAAAGAGATACAATTGCACCACTGCAAAGGGACGTTATCCCCCCGGGAAGTGGCAAAAGAGTACAAATTATTTTCACTTTTAAATTTAAGAGTAAGATTAACCTAATTCCAAAATTCCATGCAAATTGGAGCATGAATTTATTATATTTTAATATTGCCTTAGCCTATAAGTGAATAGAAATGTTTGACAAATGACAGTCTTCATTTGTTTTTAATGTCAAACCATGCCCTAAATATTTTCAGGGTCAAACAATAATAAGCGGTTTTTTGTAATTTTTCCATTTATTTCTACAATCTAACTATATTTCTATGAATCTAACAATTCTAGAAAAAATCCCGAACAAACTTCAGGAAGGTTCATGAAAATCCGAATTACAGTTTAGGAGAATTAATCATTCATACATAGTTACAGAGGAATTTTATATATAAGATATATATATATATATATATATATATTAAAAATATATTAAACATATTTTTATAGACACCCTTCACCCGTATATGACGACTACAGAATCTGCGCCGACGGAAGCAACGCAATCCATGAAAGGCTTATATCCGGTGCCAAGCACGCCGCGGCCTGTTCCGGCGGAAGAACGAGGCGTCGAACTCACTTTCCAAGAGACTGGGCACGAGAAAACTTTTATGTTTGCACAAAGCAACACTTTCATACAACTCGACGGAGAAGTTATACAGACATTCCAGCTAAGGTATGTTAAATTTTGTGTATTACTGGATACATGTATTCGTAGTTTATATATAATAGTTAAAATAAAAAATGTGATTAAAAATATAAATCATCTAGTATACTCCATCAGAAAACGCAGAAATATGTACTAACCACTTTACATTAATCGAATAATTACCGTGTTATCATATTTTTTGCTATGAAATGGATTTGTTATTCTTCTTAAAAAATCAGCTTAATTTTTTCGTTCACTTTTTGGCTGATGTATATATGCTTGTATATACATCAATAACAGTTCATGGCCCGATAGCGACGTCGTAAGAATCAAGGTGATGGCTAGAGGCTAGTTATACATCTTTTTCCCTCTACTTTCAAATGCTGTCGTTAAAATATTCTTAACTTTACTTGTTTCTGAGATATCGGCTTTACCCTAAAATAAATATAAATTCTTTCAGATTGTGTCGAGAAATATCATTTCAATTTCGAACGAGATTACCCCATGGACTGCTCGTATATCACAACGTGAAAACACCGGAAGGTCTCCACATGGAACCTTATGCTTTATATGTGATCGTTGAAAAGGGACAATTGAAGGTCGTCCACGTATTTGGAAAACATTCCACGAGTGTTACCGTCGGAGAGGGCTTGAACAGGGACGAGTGGCACAATGTTATGGTAGGCGCCTAATTTGATACTAATGTCCCATTGTTTTCGAATTAATTTCAGTCTTCTTTAGAATATGAATTATGTTCATCCTGAATAGTGAAATGTATTAAATACATATAAATGTCGAATTAATTACTTCATTTCATACAAACTAACTGGCAATATCACTGCTATCGGTGGTTACTGCCAGAAGACTAAAAAAATTTTCTTTTAGGTTTAGTTTATAACTATACCAGTTATCATTTAATTAGAAGTAGATTATAAAATGCAATTTAGCATTTTTCTCCTCAGCACCTACATATATTTCATTTTCAAATTACACATTCACTGCCAATAGATTTACTGAATATCTTTTATTGTATGTAGTTGCAAATGTATGTAATAAATGAAGAAGAAGTTTGTTTGTTAGTTTATAGGAGCCGTAAATTAAAATGACAATTGGAGACTATAAAATTTTCCAATATACCTAAACAGTTTACATAACCTTTCGATTTACATAATTAATTAAGAAAATAATTTACAAAACTTAAATATGATTTTAAGATAGTCTCAGTAGATGATGTTAAAAATAAAATTATGAGGAGGAGGTTATAATAAATTTTATGGCTGGCGTAAAAGCACGTTCATTAAATTTATTGAGTATTTATATAAAATATATATGTAGTTTTATAAGTAACAATAAATTTATTCGATTATGTTTAACATATATTCTGTATTTATTCATAGGTAAGGATTGACGTCCACGGAGCCAGGCTAATTGCAAGCGTAGATTCACAAGAGGAGGAAGTTTATATTAAAGGTTTAAATACTGAAACTAATTATGGCGTATTTACCAATCTGACATCAGTCGTTCTTGTTGGCGGTAAGAACAATTAAATATATTTTACCAAAGCATTTTGCTATTTTTGTATAAATTATCATTCCTCCGGATATTGATTGTATAAATAATTAGTCAAACATTTTCATTGCTTGTTGAAAGATATGATTTTTTTAATTGTATGTACTTAATAAACACTTTAGGCAGAAACTTTATATTTTACATATAAAAATATTGCCCTTTATTAATGCCAAATAATGGTGAATTATTAAATAACAATTTTTTATCGTCAAAAATATCAATTTTTCAAATTAAGTTATATAAGTCAACTAATTAATTAAAATAGTTAATTAAGTCAACTAATTTAGTGAGACCGAAAATTATATCATGTTGCAATCAGACGATAATTGGAATTATAAAATCAATAAAAATGGTCGATAAATAATTGACAATCAGCTCAAAATTGAAATACATCAATAAAAATTGGGTCATATATATCTTTCACAAGTATTTCATACTGATAATATTACGTATAAGGATTATATTTATACCATAATCAATCACATCGGCTTTAAATTAAGATTTCGTAATATTTTTGAATAAAAATTGGATAACATTTATTCTTAGTCCGGTGCTTTTATAACTAATAAACCATGAATGAATATGAAAACAAAATAGAAAATTGATCGTTTTCATATTATATTTTATCTTACACGGATAACTATAAAAACATTAACTTCATAGGTAAGAATGCAGCCATATAACAAAAATAGCTTATCTAATCTAATAAAATTTTATGCTTTTACCAAGTCAAGTCTTAAAACTCACTTAGATGTAAATTATCCATTTACTTCAATATGTCACAGTTTCTGATTCATATGACAACAAAATTAATACAGAATTTGCCAAAAATTCTTTAAGGTTTGAGCTCAGAGGAAAAGCTACATGGTGTGAAATATATAATAGAATCATTTGTTGGATGCATAAAAGATGTAGTACTGAGCTCTGGTAAGGCGGCATCAGATCTATTACCTATCAGGCCTCTTATTGCCACAAAACATGAGAACGTGCAGGAGGGTTGCCTGGATCGATGTCATACAAGAGAAAATCTCTGTTTCGTCGGATCGTATTGCGTGAACCATTATAACGGTTTGACTTGTGACTGTTTCGGAACCAGATATGAAGGAGAACAGTGCGATGTCTACAGTAAGTAAATTATTATTAATTTCTTGAAATAATGTATTATAAAACATATCCTTAAAGTTTTATTCTATTAGAATGAAGCATTTTAATATAGCAATAATTACAATAATTACGTTGTACACCGTTTATTGACTATATTTTTGTCAAAGAAATTCACTTCCAATATTTAGGTTAGTCGATCCCGTACAATACACCACTTTACGTGGTTTATGGTTTCTGCACTTTGAAACATTGTTTTTATACTGCATAATACGCTGTTTCGCATGGATGTATTTTTTGTCCGGTCCCAGGAAAATAGTCTTAACAGAGTTTTACTGTGAGGTAGGCCAGGGCACAAAGGCCCAACTTGAGTTTCACTAATTATACTGTCACTAAACCATCACGTTTGATAATACGAATCAAACAAACCATTATCAAACTATCGTACAGTGACTATTTTTCTAAAATGTGTCATATGTTCCTCTTTGTCACGTCGATGGGTGTGTGGAGCCATCAGGGACAAAACAAATCCAATTTCTCATTTTTAAGTATAAAGGAATTCAATTATAGAAGAATTAAATAACGTATCCTTACAAATTATATTCAGGTATCATGAACTAAATAGCTGAGCTCAAATAAAAAAATTTACTATTCAACGTGGCTAAGCTTAATAGGACAAATATTTAGTACAATGATACTTTCGCTTATCAAGTTTTAATACCAACAATTAAAGGCAGATTCTTTAAGAATTCAGGACTCAGCTCAAGGAACAAAGGGGCATTCGTTTTAAATATAACTGATAACTATTTTTTGTAAATGATTTAAAAAAAAAATTTAATGCTAGCTGTACCCGTTCACGCTTTGCCGTGATTTTGTTTAAATTAAAAAGTTGAACAAAGATGTGCATTTGTTACATTTAGTTTAACGTTACTACTATCTGCTCAACAATTTACCTATTTAACAATTTGTCTACGAATTTAACTTCAACTTATTAATCAATCTACCATTTTACCGGCTTACCAATTTACCAGTTAACCTATTTACCTATCAACCTATTTCACCTGTCTACCAATTTGCCTATCAACCAGTCTTGTTATTTGTCTATCTACCAGTTGTCCAGTCTATCATTTTACAATTTACCTGACCACCAGCTATCCAACAAATTAACTTTTCACCAATTTACTTGTCTACCAATACACCTGTCAATCAATTTACCTGTCTATCAATTTACCTATCGACCTGTTTATCAATACACCATTTTCCCTGTCAATTAATTTACCTGCTTCCCAATTTACCTGTCATCTCGTACTACATGTCTACCAGTTAACCTGTCAACCTGTTTATTTCGTCTATCTACCAGTTCTCCTCTCTACCATTTTACATATCCTTCAATTTACCAGTCCACCCTTTAATTCACCATATTTATTTACACATTATAAAAAATTAAAGCTCAATTTGATTCTACGTTTTAGTTAGGAAATGTTTGTATGTAAAAAAGAAAAGGACTGTTTTTAGGGTTTTCCGGGAAATTATTCGATTTTTTCTCGCCGTAGGAACCATCCTTGGGCTTCAATGAACATTTTAAAAAAAGAATTCCAGGCGTTGTTGAGTTATGCGCTTACCAACACATTTTGCGATTCATTTTTATATATAAGATATATTTAAATCATATTTTTAACATATATTTTTATACAGTCATATTTCATACTACACAATGAGTTAATTTTATAAACTATTTATAAATTGCTATAAAGAAACGCGTTTCGCATATCGTACTTTTTCCCGAAACGACTTAAGTAAGTTAATCAATATCTAGTATAATAATGTCACCGACAGATGTTTCAATTAATTTTTTTGTCAAAACAATATTTTATTTTCAAGGCCAAGTAAAAACATTACGTGACATAATAAATTATGACCACATTTGCCACAATATTATGACTTCGCGTTTCTGCTAATTTTTGTAAATAAATTACGAACTCATTGACAGTGTAACTAGCCCTAATAATAAAAAATATTTTTAAAAAGAAAAGCTTTGCAGTATTTATATAATTTAAATGGTAAATAGTAATAATAATAAGTGATGAATAGATGTATAAAATAAGGAAGAGCGGCGTTTGATTTCACGAGCAAAATACATTATAATTGTCACATTCGGACAATACTAAATCTATGGCAATTCCGAGCGCTGTAAGTTTTAATCATTTGCCATATTGATTTTGTTCACTTGTTTTTCGGTGATGGGTTCGTTCGTACGTTTTATAACTAGTATTGTGTCGCTTTGAGTGCTATCTATTTCCCATGTAAATAAATTCTTCTATTTTTTTAGTCCGTATCCCTTATTTTGTTTGAAGTTAATTCCTTTATCAGACTTCATCTTTCGAGTAAGCTGAGAATTCCAGACTTCAAGCAACTATTCAACTGGGCCTCCTTCACAAATTTTTTTTTCGAATCCTCGAAATAGCTATTGAATCAAATACAATGAGCTGTTCTGAAAGAAATGTTATCCTTAACATTGGTCCTTCGAGAAGGATAGCATTCGTTATATATATATACTAGCTGACCCAGCAAACGTTGTTTTGCTAAGTAAGGTATATTCTAAACAATTTCTAGAGATTCAAAAATATCAATACTTTAAGTGTATAAGGATGTGTTGTTTGAATGCTATATACAATGAAGTAATATAAAAACAATAAACCCCATTAGTTTGTCTATATTTTGTCAATACAATTAAACTGGAAGATTTATACACTTTCTATAGAAAACATAGTATAAACCATCCAAGGGTTTTTTGGTCTTTCGACTTATTAATTACGTTTCAAGTTTTTCAGATTCTTTTTGGATTCTGGATTTTGTGTATAATTGTAAATAATACTACTAAGCTTATACAAAATTTTCAAATTTTTGCAAGGAGAGATAGAAAATGAATTAAGTATTTTTTCTTTGACCTGCTTTTTGAAAAATTTCAAGTAACATTCGATGAATTAAAGTAAATTTAATAAAAAGTATATATGTAGAGCAGGGTGAGGCGCAAAGGTCTAATTTGAGTTTGAGCAAATATAAACTATATTGTGAAAACCATAACAATTATATCACAACAAATAACACATATCAAACGAACAATTATCTGACTACGTTCAGTAAACTGCCTTCTACTTTATCATTATAGAAATGTGCTTTTTTGATGTCTTTCAAAAATTTGTTATTTATCCCTTTTTACCCTATAGGCGGGGTAACTTGAAACTGGCAGGTGGCAAAAAGGTTTAAAGCCTTAATATAGTTTTAAAGGTATTTTTCAAAATAATTACAGTTTTAACTAATTTTCAAAGATTGCCGTTTATCTCCCCCATTTCAAAGATTGCCGCTTTCAAATCAAGGTTATAGCTGATTATACATCTTTTTTCCTCAACTTTCAAATATTGCTGTTAAACAATGCTTAACTTTACTGATTTTTGACACATCGGTGGTGGACCTTTTTAACCCCGGACCTTCATATATTACTATCTATTTTTCGATAAATTCTGGGAAATTATAACTGGGAAAACGTTATTTGACAAAATGTCCATTTGATCGATACCAAATTTAGATTCTGAAGTTAAATAACATAAATAAAAAATAATATAACCCAAAAAAATTTTTATAAATACCAATGAGTATGTGGGAGTTGTTATGATTATGATAATATATTAAATTAGAAACTCCCAACATAAAAAATATATCAAATTTATTGACTATAAAAATATTTCGATATCAAAAATATACATGACATGTCCCAATGTTTTTTTACAAATCTAAACCAGCCTGCTTGATATCCCCACACACTCCCTGCCCAGTGTTGATGTCACAGTTTAAAAAGAAAATACAGGGAAACACGTTATAAAAATGTGGTGGGAAAGCAGATTATAGCAGACCAGTGTTGTAATACTGGTCAATTACAAATTTCCATGTTTCGTCAGCAGATCCACCGTATGTGGTAATTTGACCTGCCATCAACTCCATATTCTGCATAAGGTTCTGACTAAAAAAAAAAAACATGTGGAAAATTTCCTGTACCTCGATGTCGGTGAACTTCTAAGATTCAGCCTCGATGTAATTGGTATTAGTTATATCAGAATTACTTAATGTTTAGAATGCATAATTTATGGGTACAGTTTCCATTTCTGCAAGCGTTGCATTCGTATCTGATGAGTTCCGATCAGAGAAAGAAGTTGGCTCTTTATCCAAATCAGGATCATTGGTTTCTTTGACATAAGAGTCCAGAATTGTGGAATCCAATAAATTATGTCAAATTTTGTTTTGACTCGTCGTTGTCACCGATAATGGGAGGGAGCATTATAAGACGATTTGTTGAGTTAACAGAGAAAGAGAGGTTGAATTGCATTCCAATGAAAAGTTCAGGCTCCAAATTATTTTTTCTGTCAGCAATAAATACTGAGGTCTGGGTATACCAAATGAGTAACCTCGGAAGTCTGATCCAGATAGTAAGTGCGTTAACTATGATGGATTGGACTGGACGTACCTTATAGGTCGTCTCTGAAGACCAGTGATTATGGTGCTGGGTCAAAATCAATTTTTCTTATTCTTCGAAAAATAAAACTCCTTTATCTTTATCTTCATCGTCGTGAGTCACCAATGTGGGAGTTGTAATAATTATGATGATATATTAAATTAGAAACTCCCAACATAAAAAATATATCAAATTTATTGACTATAAAAATATTTCGATATCAAAAATATACATGACATGTCCCAATGTTTTTTTACAAATCTAAACCAGCCTGCTTGATATCCCCACAAGTATATAATTATACAAATGATATCTTTCAGAGCACCGTGTTTGAGAAATAACCAAAAAGTGCATTTTCATATTAACATTTCAAAAAAGTTGATATTTTAGTTTCTAGTAACACTTGCGGCCCGTTAGCTAACGTTTTTTCATATAAATAAAACTACAAAAAAAACTACTTACTATAATTTAATCATAATTAAATAATATTCACATAAAACATCCTATTAAACGTAATTGTACATCATCTGTCAAAAATGTTTGACATTTCACGTATTAGCCACTGTCCATTGTTTTATTTAAATTACGCTTCTACAAAAATTTTCAAATTAAAAATGTAAAGTTTCTACGCGATTTTGAAATAATATCTCACCTTTCCGACCATTTCTGGATTGGCACGAATTTTTCAAGACTAAGACTGGCCAAATCGGTGTAGCCGTTTTCGAGTTTTACCGAATCATTTGATCCAGAGCTCCATTTTTATATATAAGATATATATTGATTATCGCCTAAATTATGAAAAAGATAATAACATTAAAGAAAATATAATTATTACAGCTGCTACAGTACTAACTTTGCGAGGTTCAAGTTATGTCTCCTACAGAGTTTATGACTGGAAAGATAGAGTTCATTCTCCAGTTAATAGAATTAGCCTTATTTTCAAGGTAAGTTGTAGATATGAAATCTATTATATTTCTATGCTTTACCTTAGGGTTTCTTATACCAATATTAAGTGAAAAACTGACTTTACCCATCCGTATTCAAATTTATTTGGGTTTCATGCAATTTAATAGTAACATCTGTAATAGTCCCAAAGTTCTTGTTTTTAGTCAATCATGTTTTAATAATCATGAATTCCGTTTACTGAATTTTTAACTTTCCGAAGGAAAAGTTTGTTTCTGCAAAAAAAAACAATTTGCTAGTTTTATGTTTTCTCGACGTTACAAGTGATTAATAGTTTTGTCATAAAATTCTTCAAATTTCGCCGCTAGTTTTCACGATTCTAATTAAAATCTATGTCAAAGCATATGCTCGTTTCGTGTTTCGTACTCTGAAATGGATTGAATGAAATGTTGTAAATAAATTAATTTAATTTATACAATTACAGAAATTATAAGTGTGTTTGAAAGATATCAATTAAAAAGCGAATTGATCCATTTTAAGTGTATGCAAATATTTTATTTTTGAAATAAATAGTTGAACATTTTCTCTAAATAGCAAAATGCATAAACTTTATAATAAATATGTTATATAAAGTCTATGGCTAAATTGATTGAATTTCTTATTGATTAAGTTGATTATGTATACTTATGCAACGTGCCTATGAAAGTCATGGCTCTACTTACAACCGATAATGGTGGCACATTATTTTCACAAATTAATATATTTAATAAAAAGTAATACGTATATTACACATCATTCAAGTGATTTCCAAGGCCTTGATTACATTAAGACTGATGATAATAAAATTTTCAAAAAAATAATAATATTATATTACGTACATCTACAATCCCGCTTAGATACATTTAATAATTTAAGTAAGATAACATATTAAGTGAAGTAAAAAGACTTTCATTATTTTTGCATGAAATTGAAGGTTTTCTAAACATAGTTAGAATCATCCGAGTTAGGTCAACTAAGCACCATTTTGTTCAATAATTTGTTAACATTTGTTAACATTTTGGTAATGTCACTAAGCCTCTCTTATAGAAACTCTCGTCCCTATTGGCAAAAAATTGGGGTTTTTACATGCCTCTCTAGAAGTGAATTTTTCACGAGCAAAACTATTCACCATATATAGAAACAGATGGTAATTGTTTAGTGCCAAGTCCGAACTAAAATATGAACGCATGAAAACTTCCCAATCTAGCTCCCGATGCTTCTGAAGGAACACAATTCCTCCCCTATTGGTCAAAGCGGGCCACTTCTGGGCGATTAATTATTTCAAAACGTTCAATTATTGACCTTACAGTTCCGAGTTAAGAGTTTTGCCATAGAAGATTAGCTCACAGTGGATAATTCAATCCCAATACTGACTTTGCCACCATTTCTGCCGGCTCAACGTTATTCGATCAGGACAGTTTTCGCTTTATGTTGTATATTTATATATATATATATATATATATATATATATATATATATATACTAGCATACCCAGCCTTGCGTTGCAACGGCCCTTATTAAAATCCACCTGATTGAAATTGGAATCCGTTCGACAACCAAATTTCAAACCTTTTGTTATAAAAAAAATCATATCAGTCCAATAATAAATAAAATCCGGATTGAAATTTGAATATGATGGATCAATCCTATTGATTAGTGTTTTTTTTTTAAACTTAAATAATAAATAAACTGAAATAATTAAACATTTGAATAAATGAGTACATTACAAAATGTATAATAAATAACCAAGCGATTTTTATAAATTTGTTATATCTTATTTGGTATTACGACTTATTTACCTTTAGCTAACATTTTAACATGTTCTACGATGCTTTATTTAGAAATGGTTTCGCATACTATTGGTCACATACTATTGGAAACTTGCTATAAGCCTTTAATATTTTCTTTGAAAATTTTCCATAAATTAATGATTAGACAGTCATCGATTTCAATGCAATATAATATTTAGTTTTCAATCATGATTTATATTAATTTTGTGTTGTTTACCTGAATGAACAACTTAAGCAAATTAAATCTTAATCATAAATCAATTTATTCATAAATTTCCCGGAATATTAACAAACGTCATTTTCGGCATTTGTTTCAAAATCGTAACCGCCCAAATTTATTTAAATTTGATAAATTTTATTATTCTGTATCTTAAATATGATTTGTAATATAAGTTGGAATAATTAATGTATTTGTTCTTATTTAAATTCGTTAAAATATTAATTCTTTTGACCTGTCAAAATTTTGTTTAAATTTATAAACATTATATATTTCTATTATTTTTAATATAGCATTTTACCTAATTTGGATATAACTGTTGGATATATTATAATATATCTGTTTCTTTTTCAATAAGTATTAAATAATATATTTTTAGAATTGTCAATTTTTTTTTCAGAAATCATAAATTGTTTCTTCTCGAAGTTTCCATAAATTTTGACATTTGTCATTTTAGTGTTTTGTTTGTTTCAGTAAATTTCTGTCAAAATTTATGGAAATTTATAAAAAATATAAAACTAAATAAATATTTCCTTCTTGGTCGAAATTTAATATAATATGATATAATATATTTTTCAATAATGTTTTGTATCTACAATATTGCCTATAACAAAACTTGGAATAATTAATGTATTTGTTTCTTATTGAAGTCGTTAAAAATTCAATTTTTCTGAACTGTCAAAATTTTGTTTATTATTAATATTAAATTTAATATGTCGTTTTTTATTTGTGACCTATAATGTTTTGAGGAAGTTTTGGTATTCGAATTAATTTCGTAAGCAAATCAAAATATAATTATAAATCTATTTATCTAATAATTTGTATAAATATTGTCAAATGTCAATTCACGTTTTTTTAATGTCAACTTTTATTTAAATTTATAAACATTGATTTTTAATTAGATTTAAAACTATAAACAGTGATTTTGAATATAGCATTTCATCAAATTTAAATTTAAATGTTGAATATTTCTATATATGTACAACATGTTTTATTTTTTGAAATGTCAAATTTTTTTTTTCAAAAATTAAATATCGAAATTTCCTTAAATTTTGACATTTATCATTTTAGTGTTTTGTTTTTTTTTTGGTCATTTTCTGTCAAAATTTTTAGAAATTTATAAAAATTATATATTTATATTTTAAATTTACTTTTCAAAATTTCCTATAACCTAAGTTGGATAAATATGCACACGGTGAGCCAATAAAATTTAAAATCGGTCCAGTAGTTTGGGCGTCCATCGCAAACCAACATCGTGACACGAGATTTATATATATATATATATATATATATATATATATATATATATATATATATATATATATATATATAGTGTGTGTGTTATAAAGTATCTCTGTGATTTTATATTTACTCTAAATTTTAGACAAGTTATGACGACTCGGCATTGTTTCATGCGAGCGGAGAGTACATCAAACATCAATATATTGCTGCATCTATTAGAAATCATTCCGTTTACGTAGAAACCGATTTTGGTGATGGCCAAATATCAGTCGATCTAGGCCAAGGTGTGACAAGCAACTACTGGCATAATTTAACTATTTTCCATAACTACACAACCATACGGATATCTTTGGATAACGAGATCGAACTCATAAATATACCAGGATCACTAAAACTACTTTATATCGACCCGGAAATATATATCGGAGGAGGTCCAGAGTTGCATAAAAAGAAAGGGCTATCTTCGAATAATAATTTTGCGGGTTCGCTGAAATATGTATTCTATAATGACATTTCAATTCTTTACGAACTTAAGAAGAGTAATCCAAAAGTGCACTATATAGGTAAGGAAGGTCATATAAAAAATAAAAAAGAATAACGAGCTAGATAAATTGCAAATACAGTATTGCAATTTTGTAGTTATTTCACAAGCTTTATTTAAAGTATTTTTATTGTCATTTTCAGATTTATTATAAAAGCATAAAATTATTAAATTATTGCAAATAAACTATTGCAATTTTGTAGTTATTTCACATGCTTTATTTAAAGTATTTTTTATTGTCATTTTTCAGTTTTATTATAAAAGCATAAAATTATTAAATTATAATAACTACTGAAGGATATGCAATGAACCATTAACCATTACGTAACCATTTGTTACATAATAATAGCCCTACTACTAAGAAGTTAAACTAATTTTTGTATTTGATGATAGCACATATTTTAAATATGTATATCTTATACTCGATTTTGATATGATTATATATGATAATAATGCAATATTATATAGGAAATATAATAATCATGTTTAAGAATGTTTCCATAACTATAAAGAAATATTATAATTTAATAATGTTATTAAAGTATTTCAGCATCACAAATGATAAACTTAATATATTTTTATAAATCAAATTAGATATGATTTCATTTAAAATTTGCATATTTTCCTTTAACAATACATAGAAGTGTTATAAGATAATATTTTTGTTTAGAATTTGAATGTTATATTATATTATTATTTAAGACTCATGATATGAATAAAAAAAATCATATTAATTGTTACAACCCAAATCTGAAGCAAATATTTATTCAACTTTTAGGTGTTCTTGAACCAGAATTTTACGAAACCGATGTAGAGGTAATACCTTTCACATTTCCCTTTGCAAACTCGCACATATGGTGGCCTATAACCATTACCGAAAGCTTGGATTTGAAATTTGATTTTAAGAGCAGTGAAAATATTGCTATATTGGCTTACGCCGAAGTAACTACCAGTTCTGGAAAGGGTTATTTTGATGTAATAATATGTTTTAATTCATTCAAATTTATTTCATTTCGTGATAATGAATATTTATCATTCAAGGTAAGGATGGTGAAAGAAGAACTGCGATTCGAGTTGGTGCCCTTAGGAAATAACAATATAACGCATGTAATATCTGTGAAATTTGATTCATCCGGTACATGGCACGCGGTGGAGATGAGTTATTTGAATAATATTTTAACGCTGACGGTGGATCATAAAAACAAACAAGCACAAATGTTTGGTATTTATAAAAAATATTCCATATGCATATATAAATACAATGCACATACTCATACACACATATGATATATATATACTAGTTGACCCGGCAAACGTTGCTAAGTAAGGTACATTCTAAATAATTTCTAGAGAATCAAAAATATTAATACTTTAAGTGTATAAGGATATGTTGTTTGAATGCCATATACAATGAGGTATTATAAAAACAATAAACCTCATTAGTTTATTTATATTTTGTCAATACAATCAAACTGAAAGTTTAATACACTTTCTATAGAAAAAAAAGGTATAATCCAATCCAAACCTTTTTTGGCCTTTTGACTTATTGATTACGTTTCAAGTTTTTCAGATTCTTTTTGGATTCTGGATTTTGTGTATAATTGTAGTTAATACTGAGCTTATACAAAATTTTCAAATTTCTGCGAGAAGAGATAGAAAATATATTAAGTGTTTTTTCTTTGACCTGCTTTTTGAAAACTTTCAAGTAACATTCGATGAATTAAAGTAAATATAATAAAAAGTATACATGCAGAGTAGGGCGAGGCACAAAGGTCGAATTTGACTTTGAGCAATTCTAAATTATATTATGAAAACCAAACGAATTATATCACAACAAATAATACATTTCAACCAAACAATTATCAGACTACGTTCAGTAAAACTGTCAGCTGTTTCATCATTGTAGAAATGTACTTTTTTGATGTCTTTCAAAAATTTGTTATCTAAACCTTTTTACGCTATAGGCGGGGTAACTTGGAACGGCCAGGTGGCAAACAGGTTTAATGTCTTATTTTAATTTTAAATGTATTTTAAAAAATAATTACACTTTTAACTAATGCTAAAAAACTACCAACGGAAGACAATATTTTATTATGGATTTTCAAAGATTGCCTTTTATCTCCCGATAGCAAAGTCATAAGAATCAAGGCCATTGCTGGTTATACATCTTTTTCCCTCTACTTTCAAATATTGTTGTTAAATAATGCTTAACTTTACTGGTTTTTGACACATCGCTGGTTGACCTATTTAACCTCGGACCTTCATATATTACTATCTATTTTTCGATAAATTCTGGGAAATTATAACTGGGAAAATGTTATTCGACAAAATGTTCCTTTGATCGATACCAAATTTAGGTTCTGAATTTAAATAACATAAATAAAAAATAATATAACCTAGAAAATGTTTTATATATACCAATGAATATATACAAATGAGATCTTTGAGAGCACCGTGTTTGAGAAAAATATGCCAAAAATTGCATTTTCATATTAACATTTCAAAAAAGTTGATATTTTGAGTTTCTAGTAACACTTGAGGCCCGTTTAATAACGTTTTTGTGTATAAATAGAACTACAAACAAAACTACTTACTACAATTTAATCATAATTAAATAATATTCACGTAAAACATCCTATTAGACGTAATTGAACATCATCTGTCAAAAAAGTTTGACATTTCATGTATTAACCACCGTCCATTGTTTCATTTAAATTACGCTTCTACAAAAAATTTCAAATTAAAAATGTAAAGTTTCTACGCGATTTTGAAATAATATCTCACCTTTCCGACCTTCTCTGGATTGGCACAAATTTTTCAAGACTAAGACTGGCCAAATCGGTTTAACCGTTTTTGAGTTTTACCGAATCATTTGATCGAGAGCTACATTTTTATATATAAAATTTAGAGATTTAGATTTTAGATTATATATAAGATAAGATATATATAAGATTTTTATATATAAGATATATATGTCTGTGTATATTGATATGTAGTAAAACAGCTAATGCTTCAAAATAAAATAAAATATTTATTTTGTTTATACGTTTCAAGACCAGATGTGTCTAATCATTGACAACAAAAAAGTACATTGAAAAACCATTGTGAAACTAGAAAACGACCTAAAATCATTTTAAAATAATGAGGTTACATGCATTGGCTGTTTTTAACATAAACTCATTGTAGAATTGTTGCAATCAGAAAATAAAAACAAAATTGAATTCGATCAGAACCAGATTTGCTGGTTTTAAATAATATTTATTCCGTATATCCACATACTTCCACTTTTGCATCTGCTAATGACTAATACTTTTGTAGTACAAATTTTATTTTATTAAACTTATACACAATAATACTGCAAGATTAAAATAATTATTTCTGTGTAACGCGACTTGCATATTTTTATAATATTATTTATTTTAATAATATTAAAGTTTACATTACGTTTCAGAAGAACTTTAATGCTATTTTCATATTTCAAACATAATTATTTTATTAGGAATTAATTGGTTTTGCAAGTTTAATATTTAAAAAATAAGTTACGAAATTATTCTACATGCATATACATATAATCAGTGATAATTGGTAACACAAAATTAGTCAATTGGTAAAAGTACTAATGCATTAAATTTTCACTAGGTATGAAATTCAATTTAACCGACAAGGTCGTTATAGGCAGTGGCTTAAGAAATCCTAACAATGGTTTGATAGGGTGCATGCGTGATATCATAGTAAACGGCCAAGCGATAGAACCTAGATACGTTATTAAAACAACAAGAGTTGTCGGCGAAGTGGCACTAGACAACTGCCAGTTTGTCGATCCCTGCAAAAGACCCAACACGTGCGAACATGGAGGCTTATGCTCCATAAGGGAAGATCGCAAAGGCACTACGTGTGATTGCGAAGGTACAGGATATATAGGGAAGAATTGCCATTTCACTATGTATCGAAAGACTTGTGAAGAATTAGCTCTGCTTGGTTATACCAAGCCGGATGTGTACTTAATCGATATAGATGGCAATGGAAGATTCCCGCCAGCTCACGTCAAGTGTGAATTTCAGAGCGATGAAGACGCTACCAAAACTATTGTCGAGCATAATTTACCAAGTCAAGTAGTAAGTATTATTAATAGAAGTGTCATTTTTCTTATGAGTAACCAACTATATCCACATAGTTTATGTAAACTAATTATAATGCGAAATAAGCCAGTTTATAGACATTTGGACTAAAAAATGTCAAATATAATTCGAGTCACACATGAATTCACTTTAGGAGCGGATGAATTTTTTTTACAATTGTTACACAAAAAATCATCAATTGCGAACAGTTTTATTTCAAATACATCAACAAATCGCGCTACAAAAACCTCAAACTTATGAATGCAATTGTAGCATGCATTTGTCGTGTGAACAAAAATACTAAACTGATTTTGAAATGCGATGAAACGCAATATTTTCATAGTATGTATTATTAAATGAAATATTATATTATTTTCGACGTTTCAGAATAATAAGTAAAAGTGAAAATGAAGGCAATTTAACGAAGTATAAGAATTATGAAACTCTACAAAAATAAAGTTATATACACATTACTTACTTATTTAAAAATGATTGCGAGCCAGATCTGATATCACTAATCGCTATTTTTTTAGTTTGTAACTTCACTTTTTAATATTTCGCAATTTTTCTTAATTATTTACTATCGCCTGTTCTTAATTCCTTACAACAATATACAGAATTGACACCATTCGGAAAAAATATGAAGTTTTAACTACTAGTATAATTAGAGTTTGAAATATCCATGCTATGTGTAACTTTTCGAATGAGTTCAGAAAAATATAAGTTGAAAACCATTGAAATAATAATATATATATATATATATATATATATATATATAAATCTAAACAAACCTTTTTACTTCAGTTTTATCTTTCAGGATGTTAGATCTCCTACGGAAGAAGATTTTAGCTATAACATAAAATACCGAGAATTTTCCGCCGAGATGCTTCAAGAGCTGATATCGCATTCGCTTTATTGTAGTCAACATATAAAGTACGATTGTTACAAAGCTCCAATTGATTTGCATTCGGCGACTTGGTTTATTTCATCATTCCGAAACAATATTGTTGACTGCATAGGAACTGTAAAGAGGTAAAAGAATCCAAATAATATTAATTGTTATGATTTAGCAAATAATAGATTAAATCTTAAATTTAATCGTTAACTAAATTTTAAAATCTAATATTTCTTTCAAAATTTTAAAATTGTGAAAAACTATTCTGCCTCGATCTTGTTTGTTGTATGTGTTTGACATTTTATAATCAAATTTTATACTTTTTTGCAGAGGATCATGCCCTTGCGCTGTCAATAAGACCTGTGAGGACCCAAATGAAGTTTGCAATTGTGATGTAGCTCAAGGGAAATGGTTATCAGATGAAGGTTTATACACTTTGCCTCAGAGTTTAGGAATTACTCAGATGGTATTCTTACAACAGAAAAATTTAGCGGAAGATGCCCAAGGAAGGATTACATTAGGACCTTTGGAATGTGTTGAAACAAGTAAGCCGCCACATACAATAAACAGAGTAGTTACAATGGGTTAGACTAGGAAGTGTTAAAATGGTTAATAATACGTTGACAACATTTAAAGTTACTATTATTGGCACATTTAAAAATATCGAAGTAAAATTCAGCTAATCTTCTGAGATCATCATTTTTTACACAATTATTAAGTTAATCATCTCAATTGTTTATCTGCAATTCATTTTAAAATAATTGCGTACTAGTTGAGAAATACTGCGTTAGAGAATTTTGAGAAACCTAAACTTAATTCCAATTTAATAATACCATTATATTACATGTAGATACTCAAAAATATGTTGTGACATTCACAACCTCGCAATCATACATTGAGGTACCCGGTTGGCGCAAAGGTGATATAGCCTTCAGTTTCCGAACAACAGGAGAGAAAGCAATTCTATTATTTCAACCACCAATTCGACCAAATTATCCTTCATTTATGGTTGCTTTGGCTAACGATTACCAGCTCACTTTCAACTTTACACTTAGTACAGGAAGTCAGAAGAAATTGGAAATAAATTCAAATAGAAAATTAAATGGCGGAGAATGGCATAAAATTTGGATCGATTACAACGAATATCATGTCAGATTCATGATAAATACAGATTATATGATGGTTGATTTGGAGTCAGAGGAGCAGTTTGGGCCATTTGAAGGAAGCATGTTCATCGGTGGAGCTCCAGCGTAAGCTAAATCTTATTACATAATACTACAAATACAATTGCATTAAACTTTTTTTAAGAATAGAATTGTGACTTTTTTCTGACCTGAAATTTGACTTTGCCATAGACCTTTACTAATTGTAATTACTATTATTCACTTGCATGCTCTTTCCCTTCCAAACCTCTTGCTTTGGCTTTAACTTAGCTTAACTCCTTATATTTTTTCTTTTATGCATTCTTGTTCCTAATAGTCTTACTAATTTTTTTTTTCGAAAATTTTATTTGATAACCTTATCAAATTCATTAATAATTTCAGGGATCATCTAAAAAAATCAACTATAAAGCAAGGGTTGATCGGCTGCTTCCGCGGTTTGGTCGTCAATGGTGAAATATTGGATATTTATAGTTATATGTCAACCCATTTATCAGAAATCATAAAAGATTGTAGACCTTCTTGTGTCCCATCGCCATGTAAGAATGGGGCCCAATGCAGGGAACTGTGGAGTACGTTCCAGTGTGTTTGTAGCAACCCTTGGGCACATGTTGGGCAATACTGTGAGACAAGTAAGCGATAAAAGTAGCGTCACACGGCGAGTAATATATTGAATATACTGGAAGTGGTTTGAAAATTCGATTAAAACTGGTCAATAGACTCAATAGATAAAATTTAAAACCAAAAAAACTGTATTTTAGTTTTTATTCGATATTTGCAACAGTTTTTGATATTTATTATTGCATTTATTTTATATAATATTTGAGTTTGGCCCATAAATAAAAAAAGCTTATTCGTTATTGTAATAATTTATATTAATTAAATAATATATTAATTTATTTTGATATCAACTCAAACTAGTGATGCATGTCATTGTGCCTTAAGGCAAATTCTGGAACATTCCGTACCGAAAATTAATTTTTTTCCGTAGGGTAAGTTATAGTAATCGCAAAAAAACGAAAATGCAAATTTTTATAAATCTCGACGTTTTAAAGGTTTCTGAATATTTTGGCATACCTTAGAAAAAATGAATGAATGTGTGTGTATGTGTGTGTGTGTGCGGACACAAATTTTCGTCGACAGTTCGGAAACACGGATCAACCGATTTGAAACATTAAAAAACATTCGATTCGTATTGATAAGAATACGTGCTGATTATCAGGTCTACCCGTTTCGAATATACGGGAAAAAAGAGACAAAAATTGTGATTCAGTTTTGGAGAGAACGGAGCGTTAACGGCAGGTCCAGCCATTACGGAGATACGGAGCAAAGAGTGCAAAAAATAGAAATCGAGTTTTTTTGAGAACGGAGATTCCGATTTGAATTATCTAGAAAACATGAGTTTGTAATGATTGGGAGAAGTTTTAGGCAAAGGCAGGTCCAGTCATTTCAAAGATACAAGGCTAAATGTGCAAAAAATTACAGTTTTTTTAGATAAATAAGCTTTCGATTTGAAAGATTCAAAAAACTTTCTGATTGTGTTGACAGAACAATTGCTTTTGGAATAAAAAAAAATTCATTTAAAAAAAATATTTTTTTTTTCAATATCAAAAATAATTCAGATTTTAATTTTAATTCTGGCTAACGTTCTAAAGCTCACTTATATACTGTAAATAAATAATTTTAAATTTGTAATTCAGTTTAAATAATTCTTATAAATATCAGACAACGTTACAGTATTTATAATAATCTATTTAAAAACATTTAATATTTCTCGAAGATTTCTTTGCGGTACGGGAAGATCCAGAAATATGCCTTAAGGCAGCATGCCATACACCACTAGTTACTTTTTTATTGCAAATCCAAAACCGCTAAACCTATCTTTCTAAATTTTAATTAAATTCAGTTCTTCATTTCATCAATACAAATTGTTTTTTGAATGAAACATTGTACACTCCGTTCTTTCAAAAACTGAATTGCCTTATTTGCTGAAACGGCTGGCCCTGTCTTTGCCAAAATGTAATCAGCATGTCTCCTAATCAATACCAATCGAATTTTTTGCGTTATTAAATTCGGTTGATTTATGATCTCGAATATCATGATACATTCAAAAATTTTGCGATTACTTTACCTTACTACGGAAAGTTAATATTTGAGTTTAGTCAAAAAAATCAAAATTTGGGAATTTTTCTGGCACAAAAGTAATTAAAATTATGCACTAATATATTAATTTAAATCAATATAATGATATCTTTGATCTAATATTTTTAACAATTACGAGATATAAAATGAAATCAATAGAAAAGATGAATTACATTATTTTTAAAATCATTAAAAAAAAACTTAATTAAGAAGGAATGTAATTGAATTAATTTTAAAATAAGATATTTAATTTTATAAAAACGTGTTGCTTTAATAATTAACTACTGTGTCGAATAATTAACTGCTAGTAAAATATGCTTGCTTCTGATATAGTTCAATATATAGATATAGTTCAAATTAAATTTTAAAATAATTAGAAATCGTCCAAAGATTTTTCCGATTATAAATTAACATTTTTACTTCAAGTAATTGTTCTCTTAAGTTAGATAAAATGAAATTTATGTGGCTGTATAAGGGTGTTCCGTACATTTAAATTGCCTAGATTAATTCGTTCAATTTTATATTACATATTGTCTGTACAAAATTAGTATCAAGAATTTTTGCGAATATGTTTTAGAAATAATATAAACTATTTAAAATTCTGCTTATGTTGATTATTGCTTATTTTATATTCATATTAATATTGATAATGTATTCACAGATATCAATACGAAGGCCATAACATTTTCGACACCAGAATCTTATCTGAAGAAGAATTATATATCGGATTCTAATAACAACGAGAAACAGTTAATGATGAATATGATGCAACAAAATATCTTACTAAATCTTCGAACCTATGATGACCACTCACTTATTTTATATGCAAATGATAATTACAATAATTTTGTTCATTTCTACATAACAAACGGAGATACAATTGCGTTTCTATTTAACCATGGATCGAGGATAATTAACCTGAATATAACACTAGAATTTAAAGAATTGAATAGTGGAAAGAGTATTCAATTGGCTATAATGAGATCAGAAACGGAAACTGTATTGCATGTAAATGATAAAAATGTAAGCGCTCCATTTGGCACTCTCCTGTTAGAAGAATATTCGAATCAACCATGGATCAATCCAGAACTAGGTAATTGCCATATATATATATATATATATATATATATATATATATATATATATATATATTATATACATATATAACCTTATATATAAAAATGGATCGCAAAATGTGTTGGTAAGCGCATAACTCAACAACGCCTGGACCAATTTTGCCAATTATTTTTCTTAAATGTTCGTAGAAGTCCGAAGATGGTTCTTACGGCGAGAAAAAATCGAATAATTGCCGGGAAAACCCTAAAAACAGCCCTTTTCTTTTTTAATCAAGTAGGCATCGAAATTTGTAGAAAAAACAATGATCTATGTCATGACATTTTGTGTAGTTTTTTATAATCTAATTTTTATTATATTTATATAAACATAGAAATATCTTTCTATTAATTAACGAGCTGTATTGGCAGCCAAAAACATTGATGTAAATGAATTAAATTTCAAAATAGAAAAATAGAAAAAATAGAAAAAAGGTAGGAACAAAACACACGCCACATTACAAATTTTTTTGACAGGGCGAAGTCTGTCGGGTCGGCTAGTCTTATATATAAAAATGGATCGCAAAATGTGTTGGTAAGTGCATAACTCAAGAACGTCTGAACCAATTTGGCCAATTCCCTTTTCAAAATGTTCGTTGATGTCCAAGGATGGTTCTTACGGCGAGAAAAATTCGAATAATCGTCGGGAAAACCTTAAAACCAGCCCTTTTCTAACTAATACAAATAATCGTAGTCGGATTCTCGATATTATTTCTTTTGTTTTACTTTCGGCAGACAGGCGATAAAATTGGTATGGCGTTAAAGAATTTGACTTCAAGTCATATAAGATTAAAAAATCAATGTCAATGTCCATGTCGCCCTTGCCGGTGGTGTTTTTTTTGCATTTTCTGTTATACTCTACTGAGTGTGCTTTTGTTTTGTTTGTAATGGTTTGTTATCTACCTATGAATAAAAAGTTATTGCATGTGGCACAATATTTTATTATTGCCTCCTATAAGACGAGGCAATTTAAGTAGAAGAACACGAAATGCTACAAACCAAGCTAATTACCGATCTAATCGTACTGCACAAGAACATGACGACCGAAATGAACATAAAAATTACTCAATATCAAATGGGCCGCTATGTTAGTAGTAATGAAGCAATTTGGCGAATATTTTCGTAACCAATTCATGAGAGACACCCTTCGGTTATTCACTTAGCTGTGCATTTAGAAAATGGGCAAAGGGTGTACTTTACAGCAGTGAACGCAGGTCAAAGAGCTGCTCAGCCACCATCTACTACTATATTAACAAGTTTTTTTGAGACATGTCAAAACGATAATTTTGCACAAACACTGCTATATTCTGAAATGCCAAAATATTATACTTGAAATCAAGAAGATTTATACGACGGAAACAAGAAAAATTAGTACCAGGATACGCAGATGTATATTTCACCGATGCGATTGATCGAATTTATTCAGTACATCCAAGCCATGGTGAATGTTTTTATTTACGACTGCTATTAGTCAATGTACGTGGTTGGCCCATCATTCCAACATTTACGAACTGTTGATGGTGAATTGTGTGGATTCTACAGAGAAGCCCGTCAACGTTTACAATTGCTAGAAAATGACGCTCATTGGGATCAAACTCTCAGCGATGCTGTAATATCTTCACACGCTCATCAAATAAGAACATTGTTTTCTATAATCATATCCACATGCTTTCCATCAGACCCAATTGATTTGTGGATCAAGTTCAAAGATTATATGTGTGATGATATTTTGTGTCAAATACGGAATAGAATGGGAAATCCAAATATGCAAATCAGTAAAGAAATTTACAACGAAGCATTGATTTCAATTAAAGACATGTGCTTGATGATGTCAAACAAAGTATTAATTCACTTAGGCCTGGCCGCGCCCAATAGTCCAATGCATGATGCTTTTAACCAAGAGTTGCATCGAGAAAAACTGTATGATCTCAACAATTTGAAAGAATTAATCGAAACAAATCTTCCACTGTTGAATGAACAACAGAGGTATGTATTTGATATTCTTATGAAAGTAACAAATGATGGAACTAGGGGGATTTACTTCTTAGATGCGCCTGGTGGTACTGACAAAACTTTATTAATATTAGCAACAATTCGCTCACAAAACAAAATTGCACTTGCACTCGCTTCATCGGGAATCGCAGCAACTTTACTCGAAGGTGGTCGAACAGCCCATTCAGCACTAAAATTGCCAATAAATATGCAAAACAATAAAACTTCTCCAACTTGCAACATTTAGAAGAACTCTGCAATGGCTAAGGTTTTGCAGCAATATCAATAGATCATTTGGGATGAATGCACGATGGCACATAAAAAATCTTTTAATGCTTTAGACAGAACCTTAAAAGATCAACAGAGCAATCAGACCAGATTTGGTAGATTTTTTGACAGGACTAAGTCTGTCGGGTCAGCTAGTATATATATAAATATATATACTATATATATATAAATATATATACTATATGTATATATATATATATATATATATATATATTAGGGCGGGTCGATTTGTATGGGAAAAAAAGTCACATAGGCACATATGATTTTCGTATACTAGGGATCAAAATAAGATACTTTGCCGAAGAAACCATATCTCTAAAATGAATTCCGATGACCCGTGCATTCACCCAAAGATTGGGTCAAATTTTTAAAAATCCTGTTTTGGCTCATTTAGAGCGCCTCAATAATGTCCAAATGCATGACCGACCCCCAGTAACTTTGGAAGGCCGATCTACCCATGCCCATGGTTCACTACCTGGGACCTCCCTTTAGAGCTCCCCCATACAAAAGTTGCATCATTTTGGGTATTTCATATGTAAACTATAAAACATATACGTAAATAACATATGTAAATAGAACTATATAAAACTCATAAACGATTGTTTGAAGTCATTTTTAGTTTCAAGTCTAGAAAATTTTGCACGGCTCTCTAATATCGTCGCCGTAACAGCCTCTGGCTAGCATAAAAGCGCAGAGACAAAATGCATTGGAAAAATTGAAACAAAGAAGAATTTTAATAATTTTTGTTTTATAAAAAAGTTTTTTGTGTGCGTATGAATTAATATCTGAAAAAAACTGTTTAAAAAGACGTTTTTCGCTGAGTAAAATATCAAAAACGTTGATTTTTTGCAATATTTGTATGGGAGACTTCTAAGGGGAGGTGCCAGAGGGTGAACCATGGGCATGAGTGGATCGGCCTTCCAAAGTCAGTTGGGGTTTGTTATACATTTGGACGCGATTGGAGCACTCTGAATGGATTAAAATAGAATTTTTCAAAATTCAATCACTATCTTTGAATCAATGCACTGGACATCAGAATTCATTTTAGAGATATGGTTTTTCCAGCAAAGTATCTTATTTTGATCCCCAGTATCCGAAAATTATATGTGCTCTTAATATATATAAAGTTAGTTTCACGTTGTTTGTCCGCGATGGACGCCTAAAACACACACATTCATTTTTTCTGAAATATGCCAAATGTTCACAAACCTTCAAAACGTGAACAAATTCAAAATTTTTATTTTTGATTTTCGGCCCATTACTATAACTACTCTACGAGAAGTTAATTATATAAGATCTTTTCTGAAGCTAGTGGTGGATGGCATCGTTTTAAGGCAAATTGCTGGAACTTCCCGTAGGCGCAATAAAATATTAGAGAAATATTAAATGTTTTCAAATAGACGATTATAAATACTGTAACTTCTATAAGTTTATAAAAAAGTAAATAAACAAAACTTATTCAATCGTATTTAAAATGAAATAAATCGTCAAATATTTATAAGAATTATATAAACTGAATTGCGAAGTTAAAATTGTTTATTTGGAGTATATAAGTGAGCTTTAGAACTTTAGCTAGAATTGAAATTAAAATCCGAATTATTTTTGATATTCAAAGAAAATATATTTTTCAAAAATTAAAAAAAAAATCTTTTCCCAAAAGCAATCGCTTCGTCAACACAAGCAGAAAGTTTTTTGAATCATTCAAATTGGATACTTGGTATCTTCGAAATGGCTGGACCTGCCCTTGCCAAAAACTAATCACCACTTCTCTCCATCATTTTGAATTGATTACATTTTGGATCATTCGAATCAAATATTCCGTTCTCTCAAAAACCCGATTTCTATTCTCTGCACTCTTTGTACCATATATCCGATGCGGCTGGACCTGCCTTTGCTAGAAACTAATCAGCACATTTTTGAATGCTTCAAATCGGAAAATACGTGCGCCCGAAAACGTGAACGAAATACATACACAAACACACATACACCACACATTCATTTTTTCTGAGGTATCCCAAAATGTTCAGAAACCTTCAAAACGTGAAGAAATGCAAAAATTGTACAATTCCGATTTTTGGACAATTACAATAATTTACCTTACTGGAAGTTAATAATGAAAATCACAATGATAAAATTATGATACATACAAGTAATCATTTTTAGAGGTTTTGGCTCCTCATCGTCCTCCGGCGCCACCTACCGACTATTTCCAAATAAACTTGGGAGGATATGATAAACTGAATTTACTTAGAGCTAATCAGAATGTACCCGATTTGCTGGGCTATGTTGGATGTATTCGCGGTCTAAAAATCGGAGATTACTTGGTTGATTTACCAGCTAAGGTGGAAGAAAATTTAGCGAAAGGTTAGTAGCAAAATGTTTAAAAGATATATTTTTTCTTTTGCAATAAAATAATTATATTCTCAATAAAAATAAAAGAAATAAATGAAAATATTTTAGATTTATATTATTGGTGTAATTCAAATTGCATATTGTACTATGAAAAGATTTAGTAATATAATTTAATAAGTTATTAAGCACTGTTAAGAATTTGCATAATAATAATAACTAATATAATATGCAAAAGCACAGGCAATTATCTATGTTTTTCCTTAGCACTTTTGAAACTGACAATGAACAAGACAAGAAATGTTTAAAAATATTTCAATAAGTAGTTTTTTCACTTTTTTTAGCAATATCACGTTTCAACACTTTTCAAAAAGTTATCTGTACAAATTGTTGCATAGAATATTACTAGCTCCATTCTTGAATCTGAACTCAATTTGCTCATCAGAATAGTTCCTTCTTCTGGATCAATTAATCAAATCTCGTTTTGATTTCCTTTGTGCATTATCGTTCTCTGATTTTTAAATTGAAGTCACAGGATGTCTTTCTTAAAATATCAATATTAACATTCTACAATTTTACTATAAAACTTACACGGATTTCATTATTTACAGATATTCCAGGTGTGTTTCCAGCGTGTCAGATGAAATGTGATTTAGAACCTTGCAAGAATGGAGGCATTTGTACAGAAGATTTTCGTAAGCAAGAAAGTTCTTGCAACTGTGAACACACTAGTTATTTTGGTGAATTTTGTATGGAAGAAAAGGGAGCCGATTTCAGTGGCGAGTCTGTTTTGCAAAGAAAATTCATTTTGGATAACGAGGTAGATTCTGTGAAAATACAACTAGCTTTCTCAAGTAGCGATTTGAGACAGAAAAGCAACATAATGCTGTTATTGCAAACTGTAAATAGCAGGAGTTATTACTTATTAGTGGCGCTAACAGCTGAAGGTTATTTGCAGTTTGAAGAAGATAGAGAAGGGTCTGTGTTTGGAGCGAAAGTTAGCAGAAACTTTCTAAACGGTAATTTAATAAAAAATTACTATAGTTCAAATGATTAATATAATGTAATATTGTATATATCTATTGTCAAAATAATTATGAATATATATTTAAATTCTAGGTGCTAGGCATTCCGTCTATTACAAAAGGTATCACAACAGCTCCATATTGTTAATAGACAGAACTGAAGTATCTTTAGAAATATTACCCGAAGTCAATTTTGTAAAATCTCCTAAGGAAGGAATCAATGAAATACAAATCGGTGGTTTATCGACAGATGATCCCAGATTTGCTACATTCAAAAGCTATTCAGGATGCCTCTCAAGTAAGCATTAAAATTATAAGCAAATCACTTATGTGAGTGTCGGTGATTACTGATATTAATTTTGTGTGGGTATATACATATACATTTATTTTTTCTAACTTATTTCAAAATACTCAGAAACCTCTGAAAGTAAATATATACAAAAAAAATCGTATTCGCTTTTTTGATGATTACTTTGACTTATTCTACGGTTTATTTTGTAGTACTATTTTTATCCTTATCAGCACTTGTTTAATTACAGATATATATATTGAAGTCAACAATCATACTATGAAACCTTTAGAAGAATATATGCTTTTCACAAAATCAGGAGCTGAGAATATAACAGTTCTGAACTCACTAGGTGTAAGGAGTGCGCAATGTAACTCTCAATTCGACATAATTGAACATCCTCCACCTGGTCATAGCTTGAACATGAGCATGGTAATGTAAACGTTTATGCTTCATACGCATTTTTTTATGCTCAATTTATATCACTGTTTCAATTCAGTTATTTTGTATTTTCATAAAGTCAACGTTAGACTAATCCATGCAAACAAGCCTGACAGAAGAAGTTATCTATGCACTTTTATCTTCGATTTAGAAAATTATAAAACGCATTGAACAAATTTTATTAACTTCGCGTAGGGTACAAATAATCATCATTAAATACATTGATGTTAAGTAAGTTAAATTTAAGACACAAGTATTATGCTTTTCCAGTTTGTGGATATAACACGCTACTATGTATCACATAAGACGTTCCAAAAAACCTTGAGTGAATTCAAAATTTATTCATTGCTATAACATTGATAATTTTATGAAAGAAAATAATTTAAGATAAAAATAACAAGTAGATATAATCTTGTTTTTGAAATATGTAGTCATTAGTTGTGTAGGGCGTAATTTTAGGTCGATTTTCTGGAGGCTCCGCTGCAATAAGTTTTACTTATAAATGCATAGTTGTGTTGTTTTCTACATACAAATTTATAATTTAAAATATTCTTTATTATTCTATGATAGTAATTAAAAAAAATTACAGCAGGGATCTAATAAAGCTTGGGTAGAAGAACCACCTTCAAGAACTCCATATGAGTCACAGTACGCTCGAGCATCTGAAGAAGAAGATAGATCGCAATTAGTGTTTATCATAGTTACCTCTTTATTCTTCTTTATCATAATATGTTGTATCATTGAAGTATTGCGAACAAATTATCAACATAAAAAGCGAATAGAAAGAGAAACTGACGAAAGTATCATAATTGCGAAAGAACATGCAACTAAGCTGCACGAATCACCAGCTGTTGGCATGAAATTTGGTGGATATAAAGCGGTAAGATACTATTATTATGTAATAAGCATATATTTTAAAATATATCAAGAAATAAAGTGCTGCAAAAAGTATTTTAAGGCAACCGAACTAAACAGATGGCCATAATTATATTGTAACCAACTACCCTTTAGGTACCAACTGTTGAAGATGAGAAGAAACCAGTTACCAACGGAACTTTACCAAAGATTGAAGAAAAGTGTGACAGCGTTGCAGACCTTAATGGATCCATAAATAAATCTTTAGATCATCTAAAGCCACCAGAAGTAGCAGTTGCTGATATCAACACCTGTATTCCAGAAAAGAATAAAGACTTTTTATGTGGTATCAGAGGTAAAAATAACACCGCTCGGCACCGCTCATCACTACTATTATTTATTTTATATACTTTTTATTATTTTTTGTTTAATCCATCTATTTCAATCAATTTGCTTTAATTTTTAATTTTGCATGAACGGGATTTCAGCAAACATTAATAAAACAATTATTTGTTGGCTGATTCTACACCATGCTTTCTTGATACCATAAATTTCTGATTCTTGCATTTAAAATCTCTATTATAAAATATTGATAAATATTCATATGTAAACTATCTATCAATTATCTTTTAGTTGTTTTTATTTATTCAATAATTTATTAGCCTTTATATATTGATTATTAATTTGTTCATCGTTGCTTTTTATGCAATTCTCAGAAAGTCAGCTCTTAGATCATGAACTGCAGTGGGACTCCATGGAAGACAAGGAATCCAGGCAGAACGATGATGCAGAGTCGGACCATAGCGAAGAAGACGACTTGGGTGAATTGCCGGTAAGAACCGTATTGGATCAGTATGCACCTCTAGGTACAACGAGTGAGGTTTCACTCGACCGATTAGGTCTGGATTATTCGGATCTTTTGACATAGTATTATTTTATTGGAAAGTGTGCCGATTGACTTTTATTTTTACATAAAATTATAATTATTTGCATTATATTTAATATTGGTAATACCAATATTAAAAGGTGATTGTTCATTTGCATAAACTTAAAAATCAGCCCTTGAACGGTGTGATTAAAAGACATAATCTAACATTGTCCGTGCTCATGAGAATAATTAAGCTTTAAGAAAAACTGCTTTTTATATTTTTTTTTCAAAGTATCACCATAACATTCTCATTGTAGAATTAGATATTTTTGAGCATAGTCCTTAAACAACCCAATTATGTGTTCGAAAGTTCATATTAATACGACAAACGGGTTGTTTAATTTGTTTTAAAAAATTGCAAATTATTGATCATATACATAGCTTAAATATTTTGTAAACTTTAAATTTATTTAGTAGGAGAGACTAGGTACAGTTAGCTAGGAGAACAGTAAATTAACACGTTTTTTGACCATTTGTCTACGTGGAAATACTGAAAAACTATCCTTAAATACAATGGATTTGTTTTACAAAATAATAAACTTTTTTTGTTCAGTTAGATTTTTCTTTACTTGTTCAGCCTTTTAACTGAAAAAGATATAAAAAACATGTTACAACCGTACCCACAACATTTGTCACAACCGTGCCCAACGCACACTTTTGGAGACATATCATCGTTATGATAGAGCTAAATTATTCACGCAAAAACTAATTGCTAGTAATTAACTACTAACGCTTAACTTATAAAAAAAAATAATCTATCTGCATACAAGTAATAGTTTTTATTTAAAGAAATCTAACAAAAAAACATTTTCTTTGGCTCTGACCGAGAGCAATAACGGTAACTTGTTCAAACAAATATACTACAACTTTCACTCCTTGGACTCTCATTTCTCAAAATCAGTATAGTTCAGCTTTTATAACGACTGTCAATATCTCTGGTACAAACGAGCCCAGTCTTTCCTACTCATTTATCATTATGTATCTATATAATATGGACACATAATAGATAATTAAACTAATTGCTAACTCAAGACCTACAACTATTTATTGAAAACAAATAATTTATTATATAAGAAATCTCTGACATCATGTTAAGAATGTTAAGATGCGCATAAAATATTATCGCTACCGTATCCTATGGTATCAGTGCAAGTAATGTGATTTGCGAGTATTCTCTCCTATATTGAGTATTATTGCATAAATAAAGCCATCTCTTCATCATTCATCTCGATATATCAATTAGTTGATAGTAATAACAAATTGAAAATGAGTTACTTAAGTTATATTTATAGTTTCCAGATGGATAGCCAATCAAAAACTAGTTATCAATTTAGCATTTATTTATTAATTAAAATATATTTATGCTTGCTTGAATTATTACACTAAAATACTCATTAATCTAACACAGATTCATTTAAACTGCAAGTAAAAGTAGTGATATTTAGTTTTAAGATTATGCACAATATAATATATGCAACATCATATTAGACTGCAGTCCGCCCGCAACTCGCAAAATTTTATTAGAAATAATATCTAGAAATAATTTTAAAATACAAGTAGTTTGGTTCGGTGTAATATGAATAAATATATTGAAGAAAATAAAAATAAAATTCATCTACGAGTAAATTATCGTTTTAGTTTGTTATGTGTAATAATTAATACGGGTTTATATGTTAATAACTATTTGTTATTGCTTATTGTTAATCAATAAATGTACTTCATATTATTCAAATCTATTTTAAATAGTTCAAAAATATTCTAAATTACTTGTATCTTTATTTATGCTAACCAAACTAACATTAATATGAAAAGACATATATATATATATATATATATATATATATATATATATATATATGTGTGTGTGTGTGTGCTTTTTAATTGAAAGCGGTGATTGTTGCAAAACTCAAGATTTCAAAAATTATTACTTGCTAAGTAATGCTTACACAAATTGATATACATAAGTAATAAATAGATTTGCATACTTTATGATGATTATGTTCCTAATACTGATGAATACTTTCCCTTTTTGTGATGTTTTATTTGACGAAAATGACAAAATATATCATAAAAGAAAAATATTTTTATATTACAGAAAACAGGTTGAGAAAAAGTTTCGAATTTAAAAGTTTTTCACTGCTATGTGTTTGAAAATATATTACTTTTGTACAAAACAAAAAAAATCGCCCTTTTTATGCTATTTTTCACGGTTGTCTCATTTGAGTCTCATAAAATGTAAGCATTTTATAGCAATTCCTGAAGAATAAGGCAACCTTCAACTTGTTCGGAAACTATATATATATCTAAATTTGGCCGTTAATGGAACAGCCATAAGTACATATACCTAAATAAAAAGACGTATTTCTATATGGATCCACTTTGGTATTTAAGCGATTTTTACGTCATGTTAAGAATCTTTGTGTTGAACAATCAGTTATAACAATTTTCAACACTTCAACATCATTTAGTCAAGATATCATTCAAACTCACTTTAACTTAATCTAACATTTCCTCGTAAATGTGAAAAATATCGACTTGGTTAAATTCGCACTGATCTGAATATAATTATTAATATCAATTAATGGTTAATCATTATTTGTTAGTGCATAAAAAATTTAAATCATTTATGGGTTTATATTTTTTGACTTCTTTTAAAAATGCTTATCAAATGGCGTATAAGTAGCTAACTACCAGGATGGGCTTTGAATAATGCTTTTATACCTTTTGATAAATTTCGTTCATATGTGTTGCAAGTTATATAATCATTTTAAATACAAATAAATATTAGCATATATATGCCAACTAACCTGCCTCAATTTTCCAAATTCATTGAAATAATATTAGTTGCGTGTTAGTAAGACATAATTTTTTTGGTAAGCTGCTAATTTCCACCAAACATAGAAAATATTTTTTTAGCATATGTTTTCCTTTGGCTTTGGTATAATTTGACAACTGACCATATTCTTGTATATTTATCTCGATACATCTTTTGCCCAAGAGGGTTCCGAGATCAGAACTATCACAAAGTTTCTTTCATAAATAGTTGAATTGTTTTTAGATGTTCAAACATAGTTTAATGATTCTCTAGCATCTAGAAATGTAAAACAATTTAAATTTCAAAACATTACATTTTCATCAATTTATAAAATATCGAAAATTCTTGTTTCAAAACATCTGCTTTTTATATCGTAGTATACTTCAGAGCACAATGAGAATCAACACTAAGCAAAGTTAAATTAAAGGTTAAAGTATATGTATCAATACGTAATTCATCGTATAATATACAATAACAACAGCTGACAAATTCATAGGTCATGGTTACATTGATTTATTTTAGCAATCGATACTAACACTAACACTATTACTAACAAATAGTATAGATCCTTACTAAACTTCTCTATGTCACTAACAGGTTTTTACACCAGTAGATCCTCCAAGAGCTAGACAAAAACAAATTTCGTGGAATCCTACATTAGGAGATGTGAAAAACGCTAAACTGCCATATAAAATTGACGAACTGACTACTGTATAACACATACAACTTCTACATAAAAAATATCTTAACCAGACACAAAATACTATCAGGTTTGATTTGAAAAATATTTAGCTTGCAATTATTCACATTAGTTTCTTTCCTTCTTTCACAGAGTTACACACAACAACGCATGCATTTTCAGCCAATGGCTTTACACGGAAGGTATTGTGAGCACAAAAGCTTTTACTTATTTAAGAACTTCAAAATATAAATTATTTCTAAATTTTCTCTAAATTAAATAACTGAATTTTAAAACAATAACATTTTAAAAAGCACAAATAACGCGGCTTATAATATTTATATCAATTAAAATTATATAAATAATTTTAATAATCTTTTAAAATATTCTTCCTATACTTGCATGAATAAATACTAATTTATTTTCCAACAATAAGATAAATAATGACACGTATAACAAATGCACTTTAAACAAATAAAAGCAATTAGCATGTTGCTTGTCGCACATTTTTGGCAACAAGATGAATCAAGTAAAGTTTATGAAGATTAATAAACTTATTAATTATAAAAATGACATTTGATTATATATAAATTAAATAAACAATCGTAAATAATTTAAAAATTGACCTAATTAATGAATTAGTTTAGAATTGACTATAATTATATTTACTATTTACTATATTAAATTAGTATATAATTGAGTAACAAATAAAAATTTTCTGTCAATTATGAAACTAAGTTGAATTCAAAACTCAAAATGTGTCAGTCATTTAGTTTAGGTTCTTATTAATTACATAATATCACACGAACGTAAAGATTATTTTTGTCATTTAATTATTGAGCTTCCTGCAAATGTAGAACGATTTTAA